AGTATAAAAAAATCCTGACTCCATTTTAAATCAAATAGGTCACATAATTATTGCAAAAGTATTACCATCTCTTTACAACGACTATTTAAATTCTTACGTGACATTTTTGAAATAAAACACACTAATTTTGTTCTAAAAAGAACAGATTTTATTAAATAGGTAAAAATATAAAACAAGAGGTATTCACTTTAAAATTTAAAATAACAAAGTACAAAAAGTGTCAACACTTTAACTGTCAAATAAGTGTTACCAATTTATGCCAAAATTTTACCTTCGTTCGATTACAGTTATAGTGTGTTCCGAACAAATGTTCTTGATAAAAACTCTTTATAATGGATTTATACAAATTAAATGAAACATGTTATTGTGTATTTTTTTAAGTTAACATTAATAGAAATTTTTAAATAATATTTCTACGCGTATATAATAAAATATGTCTAGTGGCTGTAATGCCAGTGTACTTGGTAAAGTGATTCTAAAAATAACACACCTAAACCCTAAATATTTCGTGTTGGTATCATATGACGTCACAGGCTATGACGCCGATGACGTGCATCGTTATATAAATTAGATGAAGTGTATCTGTAAGTGCAATGTAAACAGACAACAGTGTTTCAGGCCTGTAACAACATATCTGCCTTCAAAAGAAAATTAGATTTTTGGATTGTTTGCGTCGAAAAGAGAGAAATAGAAAGCTTTACGTCACTCAGTGAGTTTGTTAGCGATAACGACGAAATGTTCCAAGACGTTGTATTTGAAGAATTGGTCAAATATCTCACTTCGATGCGTGCATCTTTTGAGAAGTGTTTTCCCGTAGAACAGAACACTTAAATGAAACTGAATTCATAGATTATTAAAACCCTCTTTTAACCAACTTACAAAAGCCCGAAAGTATGTCAAACGAGATATACGTATCTCTTCTAGAAATATCATCAGACACATGTATGGAGTCACTGTTTAAAACGACGCCTCTCAACGATTTTTGGTGCAGAATCCTTGATGAATATCCAATGTTTGCCAAAATGGCTCTAAAAATTCTGATATAAGGCTTCAAATGTCCTCTATTAAACCTGATATCAACCAATTGATGAACAATAAAAAACAGTTTTATACCTCCCATTAGTTGAAGTTTTCATATTTAATATCTTCTATTATTATACTTGTTATGTAAGTAAGTCATAAGCAACTGTTACATTGTACTTTTATTATGCTTATTATTAAAGAATACACTTTTAAAAACTACTGTTTTATTGTTGGGTTCCGTCAAGTATTTCGCTTTCCAAAAGGGTTCCGTCACAAAAAAAGATTGAGAGCCGCTGCTGCCTAAAAGTATTTCATTGACTTTCTTGCAAAACGTTTGGCATTCCTAATATTCCCCTATTCCTATCAAAAACTAGTTTTAAACAACCCCATCTTTATCTTTTTTATCTTATTTTAAATTATTGTAATACTTAATTATCTTCCACAATGTAGTTTTGAGAATATTATTTTCATTCGCCATTCCAAGGCTTGTTTTATTGAGGCAATACTTTTTTTCGCCAACTCATTAATTGTATTGTCTTGTATTTTTAGCAAATACTGCATTCTGTACCATTATTTGGTTTGATTTGATGTTACCATGATTCGTTAATATATATTTTAATTTGTTCCATTATATAGTTGTTAGGGCTCAAAAAAACATGAAATACTACTTTAAAACGATCTTCCAGATCAGTGTGGGAAAATGAACGAAAACAAACGACAAATTGTTTAGTTTATTTTTTATTTATTGAATTTGACGATCTCTATTGTATTTTATTCAATAATATTCTCCAATGACATTGAGAAATTTTTAATAGTTGTAAAACTGATCCTGTCTAACTAACGAAAAACTTTACCTTATTCGCGATTTTGCGTCAGTTTAGACAGTATAAGTTTTGTTACATTCGCATTACGATGTAAAATTCGTTATAATGACATTACTGAAAAGAATTTCTCCACTTTTACAACATCAAGAAATCTGCGATAGGAAATGTGTCACCTTTTAAAGTATTTTTGTCGTTTAACCGATTATCCATGTCTTGAATATAAATTATTCAGTATGTGTTTCATCCGCCTTTATTAGATTGTAGCATCGCAGATACATTCTGCTGACATTGTGTAAAAATATTTCTGAGCTTTCATCTACGAGATTTTATTGATCCAGTTAAGATATGAACCTGTCACAAGTAGCTTTATGATGAACGGTAACTGAATAGATACCATGTGCATTTAGCTTTGTGTTTTATTTTTTTGTGATACTTTCTTTACTTTAGGATTATTTAAATGTAAGTTGCGTGCAATTTTAGGACTTTATCACTGTATTCTAAAATCGTTAAATTGTTTGAGGACATACAAATGTTATAGAGAATATACTTTTTGCTATATTAAGAATAATATAGTCGATAATGAAAAAAAATAAATTTAATTCAAACTTTACAGATACAGATCTAATGTATGACATGATATGACTGACATAAACCAGAAGCAATAACATGCAAAATTAAATATTGGCATACAATTTTGAGCTCTCCATAAATCAGTCCTTGATAAATTTAAAAAGAAAATTTTTTGGTTGTGTTTTTAAGTCTTAAAAATATTAATTTTGCGCTTTTTTCAGTTTTAAATTATTTATAACTAGAAAACCACCAAATTAAATATTATAAAATAAATTACAAGAGACACATTTTGTTCAGAGTAGTCCTAATAATTTGTTTAAAAAAATTGTATAAAAAAATTTAAACAACTTTTCGCATGGGCCAAAGGTCCGAAGAGAAGGTAAAATAGTAAAAAGAGGGGGTTTTGGAAAGTTACAATAGATGGCAGAGTAGGGAGATGGAACCGAACAAAACGTAAGCTCAACCGACCAGCAAACTAGAGTAGGGAACTACGGCAATCATGGAACTATGGAATCAAAGAATTAGGAAACGGTGGCAAGAAACAACGACATGGAGGGATTATCAATAGGGGAAACAAGGAAAATATGGAAAAATAAATGTCATTTAAGTAGTATTCGGATAGTTTTCTGGAACATGAGTACTTATGAAGCAGGCGCTCTAAAATATATAGTGTCAGTGATGAAACAATACAAACGAAATATCCTAATAATGCAAGAAATAAAATAAAAGGGAACTCATGTAACAATGATGGACAACTACAGCTTTTTGAGTAGTGGTGAGGAAGACCGAATGTTGGGAACGGGTTTTATAATTTGTGATCGGTTACAAAGTGTAACAGTGGAGTTCAAGAGCCAATATCTGAAAGGATTTGTAGGCTAAGACTAAGAGTTATTATTATATAAATTTATTTATATTTAATATATATATATATATATATATATATATATATATATATATATATATTTATATATATTATATAAACTAGAAAATTTTAATAAATGTGCACGCTCCTTCAATAAAGACTAGAATTTAAAATCCACTAGGAAACTAAGTTCCTGTAGCTGTCTGTATACCATATATCACAAAAAAATTTATTTCAAATCCTTTATAAAAGGTAAATAATAAAATGCCCAAACGGACTATCACAATTGCATTACAGAACGTTTTGGGAATGTTAATTCCATCATTAGTGTAAACGGAGTATACATGCTATGAGCCACCAAAATATATGGGTCAAAACACTTTAAATGTTACAAATTTATAGTTGTTTTACATTATTTATAATTACAAATTAGGATGTTTAAGTTACCGTTGGAATTGGTAACATGGCGACGTATGACCCTACATAGGTTATGGTCCTGAGACGAAGTTTCTTCGAGGACCTGTTGATAACAACAGTTTACACTGATGATGGAATTAACATTCCGAAAACGTTCTGTAATGTAATTGTGATAGTCCGCTTGCGCATTTTATTATATACCTTTTATAAAAGATTTGAAATGAAATTTTTTTATAAATAAAATCACAAGAGAATCCACAAAGAAACATGGATGGACATGAAACATGGGGTTATAGAGAGACAGACGAAGATTCCGAATAGAAAATATCGTACAAAAAATTTAAGAAAGAAATTTGGGGGAGTACAATACTATGAAAAGAACAGCAGTAAATAGAGATGTTTGGAGAGGTTTAATGAAGGAGGCCAAGGCCCGGCTTGGGCTGTAGTTCCATTGGATGGATGGATGGACAATACTATGAAGACGTTTGAAGGAGACGAACAAACGCAAAGATCGGAGAGTAGTACGGGAAACCAGAATTTAGCCAGATAGTCAGAACCAAGAGACTTAGATAGTTAAGCCATCTTGCAAGAATGGCAGATATAAGGTGGGCAAAGGACTCACTGCTGAGTCCTTTGCTCACTTCTTAAATCTTTTTTCAGGGATAAATTAGATAGTGTGCAAGAGATTATTTCGGTTTGTCTATCACCATTATTCAGTATGATTTTGCGGAAGAGTCTCCACCTGATCCAACTGTGTGGGTAGAAACTGACATCAAATAGCACAAAATAGAGAGAAGTGAAAAACTTATGGAGAGGCCTATGTCCACAAGTAAATGCAAAGAGGCTGAAGAAAAAGAAAATAACTGAACTAACTAAACTATCAAGAATCTGGAAACAGAGCAAACAGAAGACAAACTTCTTTTTACAAAATGATGAGAAAAAAGTAAAAATGAATAGAATGGAAGAAAATAACATTCACTGAGGGAGTAAAATAAAACAATAGAGAAAGGTTAACAAATCAATCAATATAAGTACACAAATAAAAACAAAATTCTAAAAACAAGTTTTAACCTGAGCAAAAATTCCAAAATTTTCGATTTACTTGTACCTCTTTTTTAACATTGCATTTAAAATAATCATTATATTATTATAATTACTGACGTCTAGGTCCAGCCTTAGAGGCTAGGCTACACTAGAAGATCAATTATTACAAAAATATAGATAAGCTCAGCCAAAATATAAAAAAAAAGTTTTTTAACACGTCAATATTAAAATCATTCAACTGATTAACAATAGAAATCTGGTTAGAATCTAAAGAGGAAGAAGATTGAGTTAGTTAAATAGTGTAGTAAAGTGTTGATCCACGTTGGTATTTGTGTAATAAATTGTTAATGTCTAAGGGACAGTAATGAGTATGGCAATATTACAGACATATTATAATAATAATAAACATCTTAGTAGGTTTTCCGAATAAAACGAATTATTACAAAATTTTCACTTACCGTTTGACTTTTGCCGCTGCCGTTGTCGTCCAAGGCACTAGTATAGCGCCCTTTGTGCCGATAGGCGTTATGTCTTTTTAAATTAACACAATCGCCTGCGACCGATCTGAAGCTGCCGCCGGCAGAGGAGGCGAAATGCAGACCACCGCTACTCCCACCGTCGTCGGAGTTAATACTTTGAGGACGGCGGCGTCTGGAACAAAGGACAGAAGGTTAGATTTCTAATAGTTTGCTTAATGAAAGGATATTATCACACGTTTTATCACTTCACAATTGTGTCAAAAAAGAAGTTTTTGCAATGTGCTGAAAAGAGTTTTAGATTTTAAGAGATGGTTTTTTCGCCAATATTTGTGAGTCAGATTCGCCTAACAGAAAATTCATTGAATGAATCTAAATTACAAACTAAAAAAACAACTGTAAGATGTCTCTTAAACAGCGGGAAATTTTTATTCCGAAACAGATGACAATGAAATATAGACACAAAATGAGTTTAGTAACGCTTTTGAATTTCGGATATTGTTATAAGAGTAAGTCTACAGTTAAATTTAAAGTGTGAGAGCTATTATACAAGTTATCATCATCACTGGCTCGACAACCTTTTTTGTGTCTTGGCATGTTCCAGTATTCTTCTCCATTCTGATCTGTTTCGTGCTTTTTTTCCTTCGGTTTTTTATTTTTAAGGTTGTTATATCATTGTCTATTTTTGTTTTAAGTATCTCAGCTTCGGTCTTCCTCTTGTTCTTTTTCCTAATGGCATCTGTTTGAATATCGAGGGTTCAAAGACAGTACCTCGTAAGTAACAAGTAGCTAATTTTACAGGATGAACAAAAAACTGTTTAAGAGTTGATAAGATGTAGTTATTTTTTGAAATCTTTTAAATTTATTATATTTTAAACTTCCTGATTTTGTAAGTAAAATAAAAAAAAGTGTGAAGCAAAATTTAAAAAAAATTAAGTCACTTAAGAGGTAATGTCTGTTTTTGTCTGTCACATACGAGGTAATGTTCATTTCTTTAATGGTTAATATAATACACCATGTTTGTATTATCGTTGTCATTATCATATTATTTAGGAAAATTAAAGACAAGAGTATCTCATTCTTCAAATTTGTATTTATTTAGTAATAAATTGATAAATACATACTTATCTAAATAAAAACTACATAAAACAGAAAAGGAAAAAAGCAAATATTAGTTTATTCTGATTGTTAAAATCTAAAAAAACGGTAACAAAATCCTAAAATTATGGCAATGAGGAACAAATCATGCACTAGTACTAATATTATGAACATTAATTAAGATTAAGACTTATACGGCAACAAATCATAAAAAGACCAACAGTCTTTAGGAATAACTGATTTGATTATTTGTAGGTGGTCATACTTTGTTTTTGAAATTGCTGGTCTATTTTGAAACAATGGGGGAAATTTAATAATAGAAAAATCAACATTTTTTGGTCTAGTTGGGATTTCTTCAAAGGAATCTTCAAAATTGATTTTAAACAATATTTTTCCATTAGTATATCTTAAAACACGAATATCTGTAACTGTATTACCACCAACTAATTTACTAGGTCTAATAGAGTTGTATTTCATAAGATTTTTGTCGGCAAAATTTTGGAAAAAAGTGTAATCAAAATTTACTACTGTAAATCGATTTTTATGCCTAGCTTCCTTTGTTAACCTTAAATAGTCACTAGGAAGATAAATTTCCCTATTTTTTAGGACTGTCTCAATAGAGCTGTGCACTGAATCACACTCCATTTGCGTGTGACCTTTTTCTAAAAATTTTTGGTCAATTATGACATTGTATTTTTCAGATAAGAAAAGCAAAGTATTAGACATTACACTGTTCCGGTTTTGGGCAGTACACCCATCAGAATAGATAGTTATGGGAAGTTTGTGTGATGAGTTCAGAAAATGTTCTTCCAAATAATGTTTCAGAAAAGATGCGTAGGTGGAAGCCTGACCATCTGCTTCTGTCTCGTTGTACCAATAGCAACTAGCTTGGCTACTAGCCAAATTATAGATAGTATAATTATGGCAGCAAAGTTTAGTTTTATAGTAGAGTGCACTGGCCGGTAATTGAGGAGATAGTTTCACTGACTGAACATCCATCGTAATAACAAAAAGTTTTCCTTCAACAGCCTCCTTTTTGTCACGTTCTTTCTCACTTCTAGCTCGATATTTTCTGATTATGTGGTCATTATATTCTTTTTCAGAAAAATTTCCATTTTTAAATTTAAAACAACTGTCACACTGGTCTTTACGTGGATGAAAAATAGACAACTTCATTGTGTCCATCATAGTTCTTAAACAAGTGTGAGTTAATGGTGTCTTTCCATTTTCTGTACAAAATTTGCAGTAAGCCCTATACAAATCTGAAACAGACTGAAACACTTGCTCCAGATAAAGTCTATCGGTGTCTTTGCGACAGTAATGGGATGGTAGTTTGTTGAGATTGTTCAGAAAACTACTTAAAAATTATTGATCTTCTTTAAATATATTTACCCGTGGCTTCCGCGTACTAACTTTGTTTTCGAATGATTCATTCATTCCATTTTGGTTTTCCATCACCCAAGATCTTACGGACCACTCCCCTAAAGCTAACGTTCCAAGGTACATAGATTTACATACAGGAACATTTTCATTATTAACTTTCAGGCTATATTGAAATGTTACATTACGGCGAGACTCATGGTCTAATTTTTTTGGCCTTGTTTTTTTAGTTACAGCAACGGTGTTGGACACAAAAATTTTGCGCTGATCCCAAGACATTTTCTCCCAAAACATTTCAAATAACTTGTTACGGTCTTCCTCCGATATAAGAAAACATTTTGGTGTAGATTTATTATGTTTGCACTTGCATCTTGTTTTCATCTTTCTCTCGGCTCTATTTTGATCATGAAATGTATTTCGCTGACCTGCAGGTTTTCTAAATCCTAAATATTTTTCACCACGCATTCTTAGCATTTTGTTCTTTTCCTTCTTATTTTCGCCTTTTTGTTTTTTCTTGTTCTTTGGTTTATTTATTTCTTGATCTCTTGCGTTTGATGCGTCACGTTCAATCTCGAAACTTAAGCTAGAATTTGTGTCAGATCTTTCATCGTCCATTTCTGGGTCATAACTTTCGTCATTATCCTCTTTTTCTTGATTAGTAGATTCAACTAAAATATTATTTTCACTTTGAGAACTTTGTTGGCTAATGTCGATCAGTTCATTGTTGGTAGTTTTTTTCTTAACATTTTGTAGACTTGTATGATTATTTTCTAAAGAATTTTCTATAATACTATTATTTTCCAACAAGTCTAATGTCTCGTGTATATTATCCAAGCAACTAAAACTGTCATCAAAAACCACAGTAGCGTTGTTAATTATGTCTTCCATTTCTTTTGGAGAAAGAACTGGTGCAATCGACTGAGCATTATCTATTTCCAATAAAACCGAATTAGACAGGGTATTTAATTTTTTCTGCGCTTGATGACAGTCACTCTCTGGATCAATATTCTCGGTCCCTTTATTGTTTTTCATATCTTGATACGTTCGTTTAGATGGCGAAGATATTGTTTCACCTGTTTTAACTTTAACTAACCGCATCATTTCCTTAGTACGACTGGAAAATGGCATTATGCTGTTTAAGTGCAGTAACTCGGTAACTGTATTGAAGGCTGAATCTTGTAGGTGACACCTGTAAATAAAATAAGTTTTTAGTGAAATAGTCACTAACATAAACAAAAAACTGCTTTATCTAATAAACTTAGTACTATTTACCAGAATAAATAAATTTTATTTTAATAAAATCTCTGTTTTACCTTTAAACACCTGATAGCGTCGAGCAACACAACAATAATGGCCACCGAAACTTGATTTTTAAGCGCAGTAACTCGTAACTGTACGAAAGACAGGACCTCGTAAGTGACACCTATAAATAAAACAGTTTATAAGAGAAATATTAATCAACAGCAACACAAACACTGCTTTAGACAGCCAAATTATGTTGTATTTAACAGAATAAATACAGTTGATTTTAATAAAATCTCCATTTTACCTTTAAACTTCAAATAACGGCGATCAAAACAACAACACTCAAACATGCCCACTTTCGTACTGTACAAACTGCACCATACAAGGTCCTGGTTTTAAAATATTTTTACCGCGCATTTACGAGTTAACGTTCCCTTACAGTTTTCTACCTAAGGCCTGAAATATTTGATTCTTTAGAACTGCCAATAGATGGATCTGTATGTCCTAAACTAGATTATATGATAAAACCGATTTTAATAAAAATGTCACTTACGAGGTACTGTCTTTGAACCCTCGATATTTTGTTTGGTATTTCGCTTTCTTCCATTCTTTCTACATGTCCTATCCAATGCAGAAGTCCTATTTTAATGAATATTAATATATCCGGATCCTGGTATATTTTTTATATCTTCATTGCCAAATTCCGTTTTCTTTTGTGCCGTTATATATGTGATTATATGTGTGGCCAGATTTTTCTTTCGAAGTTGGCTAACAACGTTTCCTCTCTTTTAGTGAGTGTACAGGTTTCTGAGCCGTATGTGAGTACCGGTCTTATTAAGGTTTTGTATATTTGACATTTTGTTTTTCTTACGACGTTATCTGATCTTGATTGCAATGGTAACATTTATTTGCAGTAAATATTCGCCTCTTCACTTCTTCCGCAACGATATTATCAGACGTGACTAGGGATCCCAAGTATATAAAGTTTTTTATCCCCTCAATGTTGTATTCTCCTATTATACAAGTAGTAAAGAAATGTTGTGAATAAAGTGAAATAAAAGTGGTCTGGTGCTAGTATAATATAATCATATCAGATATATTAGACATCGAAAACAGAACGCAGCAGGGAAAAAAGCGGTTAACATTCTAAACTCTCTACTATGGTCTAAAGATATTAAACAAGAAACAAAATTGACAATGTATCGAACCTATAGTGATTCCATAGTAAATTATGAGGAAAAAACCAGAAAAAAAAACTGTTTTATAAATAAATTCAACATTTCAACAACATTCAAAACAACAAACACGTTGAGATATATTCAAATCATATTGTTCAAAACCAAACCTAACAATAAACAAGAAAGTACAAAGAATTGCATTTATAAAATACCTTGTGAATGCGATCAGTTTTTAGGTGAAACATCAAGGCCATTAAATGTTAGAATAAGTGAA